CATAATTGAGATTCTTCTTTATTCTCATCACTTGTCTGCATGATATTGTATAGATATCCTAAGGAGAAATGCTGTCTTGGTCATCCATGAGAGTCAAAGGGTTAAGACACATTATAATGGTTAAGTCCTATGTACGAGAAAGACAGCAAATAAATATATATTGTACTCCAGTAAAGTGTTCTTATGTAGAATGAAGTTTTTTAAAAACTCATTGAAATTAAGATGACTACATGATTCAGATTTTCGTTGAAGAAATGTGTAATGCCTCTTAACAAGGAGGAGAATTTACTTCAAACTTTGATCGCAATATTAGACATGATTTTTAATGATATATACAGACAAACGTGAAGCAATGATTGCTATCTTGTGGAATATTCATTGATCTTAAAAAAGCATTTAACCCAAAATGTCATTCATCACGACATTTGCTTGATAAGCTCAATCACTATGGCTTTATGGATTAATTAATGATTGGTTCGCCTCATATCTCAAAAATTGCACAAAAACAATGCAAGTAGGCCATCCTACATTAGATAACACTGTTGTTGGATGTGGTGTTCCTCAAGGACCAATTCTTGGACCATTGCTTTTCTTGCAGTATATGTCAATGATATCCACAGATGCTCATGTAAATTTAGTTTTCTCTTAGCAGATGACACTAATATTTTGTATGCAGACAAAATTTGAAAGACCTTGAGACAATGGTCAACAATGAACCACAAAACCTTTATAACTGGTTGACAGCCAACAAACTAACTCTTAACATTAAAAAATTCAACTTTGTAATTTTTCATCCTTGCCAAAGTAAAGTAAAATAAAGCCTTTGGACAGGCCCAAGTGGCCTGAGGGGTCAGCGCTTAAGTCTTGTTTCTTAGCATGAAGTGGCTAGGAGTATTGTTACTCCCCCCTGGATGGGATGCTAGTTCATCACAAGGTTACCCCTAGCATATTTTCTGGTACCCATTTGTACATCTGGGTGAAGAGAAGCACTGTGAGAGTGAAGTGTCTTGCCAAAGGACACAAAGGACACAACAACACAATGACCCCTGCCAGGGCTTGAACCCAGACCACTCGATCTGGAGTCAAGCGCACTAACCATGAGGCCACTGCGCCTCCACAAAAGCAACTCGCTAATACCAACCAAAACTTTGCATGTTTGATAATGAAAAGAATAAATATGTTTGTCTACAGTCTAAAGTTTACCTAAAATACCTGGGCATTCATATTGATGAGAATCTCTTTTAGAGATACCACATTGATTCTATTGTTACAAAAATGTGTAAAAATGTTGGGCTTAAACTTGCAAAGCTATGCCACTCTGTACCTTGACCAATATTACTGAATGTCTATAAGTCACTAATTCACTAATTCATTCTCATTCAACCTATGGTCTTGCTGCCTGGGGTCAGGCATGCAAGACTTATCTTAACAAAATTTTAATTCTTCAGAAAAGAGCTCTTTGCTTGCTGTACTTCTAAAAGAGTTCTCTACAAATTGCTATTTTAAATCTTACAAAGAGATGGTAACTACATTCAAATCCCCACGATTATTAAAAAATGAGGTACATAGATACACTTGTTTAGAGTTTAAATGTCTGCTTTTCTTTTTCTGTGTTATCATACGAGTCAATGACTCCTTGTCTTTACATATTAGATAATTTGTATTATTCTTGTACTTGCCTTCCCCAATAGCTAGCTGTCATGATTAGCTTTCCAGCTATTTGCAGGGCTAAAATATCTCACTTTTGGTTTTTTTGTACAAAGAACAAAGCACAAAGAATAAAGGATGAAAAGGGAATACTATTTATGAATTTTAAAATAGTACATGCTGAAACCTTAAAGATGGAATCAAAAAAAAAAAACTACTAAAGTATGGCATATCTATTGACTGAGATTTTAATCATTAGCTGGCACACAGAAATAGAAAGAGGCTTCGTGAAAAAAACCAAGGCAATAAAATGAAAGATTCAGGAGAAGCATATGATCGACATTAACTAGTTTACTGATGTTATCACCTGAATTCAATCTGGAAAGAGAGCTCTGCAACACTTCTGTTTTATCTTCTCAAACTTGAATTGAAACATAAAATTTAATTATTTGCAGGCAGGTTAGGGAGGAAATTAACGGATGGATATATGTGACATGGAAAGAAACCGTTGCAATAAAATAAATCAGAAGCATATTACCTACATGTCTTTGCTTCTGAATACAGCTACATGTATAATAGGTTTATGTAAACCGGTGTAATATACGATCGCAAAAGCAATTTTATTCTTACCTTCCTCTTTGAAGGGTGCCTGGCGTATCAAATATATAAAGTTCGGTACCTCCCGAGTCATAGGCCGGTGTTTTGGGGCTACAACTTGACCCTCGATAAATTGTGTCAGGCCAATTTATCGAGTGTCGATTAAGTATAGTTTCCAAAAATCGTATGGAAAATTTCAAATGTGCTTCACCTGCGTTCCATGATGAGATTTAAAGATTTATCGTTCCCAACCACTGATGAAATTCCGAAGGTGTGACTCACTTAATTCAAGAGAAAATGCCCATGCAGTTGACAGAAATGGTTCACGAATTGTAAACTGATCATGTGTTAACAAAATTTCCCGAAATATAGTGCCGATTCGGATTTATCGTTCATAATCACTGATGAAATTCCGAGATTGTAACTCAATGAATTCAACAGAATTTAGCCTGGAAGGTTACAGAAACGGACTATCAAAAACTGCTCTTGAATTCGAAAACTGTAAACAACATTTATATATGCTCACCATATACTTACCAGCGTCACGCTTGTGAGCTGAAATTGCCAGGACCCTGCCAGGACCCCGTTTAATTACACGATCACAGCTCGGACGCTTCTTGCAAAATGTAGTGACTATCAATTTCAGAGACTGAAAAATAATTGTACCGCAAGCATGTTCATCATAACCTGAGCAGTAAGTGCGCCTCGAGATTCTGGGCGAAGAGAAAGTGGCTTCATGTTTTGTGAGACCCACCATTTCCTGAAGTTCGAACAAATCGAGTAGAAAGCGTGAAAACATAGCGCTGCTAAGTACCATGATCAAACAGGTCGGCAATTAAAATTATCACATGCTTGACGGGTCACATGACAATATTGTCTAGATCAAATTACTGCGTCGGACTTAATGTAAACATGAACATCGCTGACTCAATCTCATTTTATTAAATTTTGAGAAAGGCCGTGACACCGATCTTAAGGTAAAACAACACATCTTTGACAAAGCGCGATTTTTTTAAATGAACAATGTAAACCTTGCGATGGTTAACTGAGGAGAGAATGATGGAAACTTTCTCAAGCCGTTCGCTATCATTTGATAACTTCCTAGGCGAAACATAATCCGTAAAATAACTTCTTTTTTAATGCAAAAGTCTTTGTTTTACCGAAACGTAATTTAAAACTCAACACAAGCTAAATATAGTATAAAACGACGATTGGTGAAAAGAGGTTTGAATTTTTCTGGGCCTTAGTGTAAGAGAAAACCCCCATACGACATGACTTATCTCCTCTTCCTTCTCGAATCCTTTGTAGTTCGCTTCTCTTTGCTGATGACCTCTTTTCAGTCTGTTTTCTGGAGCTGTTTGTATTTCCTTCCCACGTTGCTCTTCACTATATATTCGCCTTTTTACTAATGCTTTTCCTTGTTCTATTTCGCGTTCCTCTCGTCGTGTTCTGCTTATTTTAGCGCGCTTTCTAACTTTCCTGCGCGTTTTTCTCGACTCGCTGTACGGCTTATACTTCTTGCTTTCTTTGGTCGCTCTGTCTCTTTCTCTCCATACTATTTTCACTCAAAACCTTTTTTCCACGAACTTGGATCATAACAATTTGCTCCTGTTCACAAAGCTTTAGTTCTACCGGTAATGTTGTTTTGCGAGTTGATTAGAAATTGCAGATCACTAAGGAATTACTGTTCTACTAAAACCTCACCAGTTTGATTTCCCGCTCAAAACGCCTTCGCAGCTTCATATCTACTAGCCCACGAGCAGCCTTCGAGTGCGCGGTACGGTACAATAAAGCTCGGCACTCGAGTGTCTACCGGTGTCTTTTGGCGCAGACCTGGCGCGCGCTAATGGGGTATCCAAGTAACGCATACAATCGCGCTTGCGCATTACCTTCTCCCTCGCCCTTCCATTACGTAATACGTATGCTAAAAGTATGACCATGTACAGTCGGTCGTGCGGTCGTAAGTCCAAATTTTTCTAGCTTGATAGGTAATTCCTATTTCCTGTAATAATGGGGCTATGCTGCACGCGCTGTGAGGTCCGCGATTACCAGAGTGATTTTCGTTATTAGCCAAGGCTCCACGAAGGGAGGCGCTCGCCAGTGATATTTTGGCTTTGCCTTTGATTTCCTTTAATTTGCTTCGGTGAAATCTTTCAAAATTTTCACAATATTTGTGAAAATTGTCCTGCCGATCATTTAGAAGCCCAAAAATAGTTACCAAGGCAGTATTCTCGCTATTTTCATTCTTGTGTTTTCTTCCTCTATCTCAAATTTGGTCTTATGAAATTTTTTTTATCAACAGGTACTAGGGAGGGGACAAATATGTTTAACGGTCCAGCAAATCCCAGGAAATTCCACCCATGGAAACGCGACAAATCTTACTCGAAAGATCCGTACTATCTTTGTCGCAAAACAGTTCGTAATGGAATAAAACTTCGCCAAGATCTATATCCATGCATGCGTAAATTTTTATACACATAAAAACTGCATTGTGCTGAACTGATTTTAGCACACCTATTCAAGCAAAAATCGCGCGATCGTATCGAGCTGCCATGTTTGTTTTGCATATTGACACTTTCAAAGCTCGCACCCATATCTCCCGCGGTCAAAACCCAATGTAGCTTCCTTAAGTCAATTTACTGTGACAAAACTAAATATTTGATTCAATTTTTCCCCCTGGATTTAGCGTTCAACTTATCAATGTGAATCTGCGTTAATCTTCCAAGCGGAAATATAGCTAACACAATAAGAGCGACATGGCCGCTGCCCCACCAACGGGTGCATCACATAAAGTCCTTCTTTCAACTTACGAGAAAGAAAACTTCCAGCGGATTGCGAGACTATTGGTGGCTGGAGGCACAGCCATAATGCGAGAAATGTTTGATCAGTTTTTCAGCCCTCATCAATTTGTCGTGAGAATAAACAATCCTGCCGTTAAGCGTAAGATTAAGAAGGCAAAACTTTCCAAGCCACAAATGGAATGCCTTTATCCAAAACCGGGAACATGCAATAGAACTTCGAAAGACTTCGACATTAGCCTCCTTTACAAACTATTTAAAACAGTCTGTAACCTTATTCCACCAGCATCTGGGTGGGATACCTTTCCACCACCAACAGACCATTCTACAGCTGCTGATCTGACAAGAATTAAAGAATACCGCAACAAAATTTGCCACGGCTACCCTGAAATGGAAATGGGTGAAACCGAATTTAATTCGTTATGGAACGACATTCGAGAGGCTCTTGTGAGACTAGCAGGCTCGATAAGTCATTCAGCTCAAAGTGCATGGGAAAGATTGATTGAAAAGTTCTTAACTGATCCGCTAACGTCTGAGGATGAGAGAAATGTTAGAGAATTGAAAGAATGGTACGAAAATGAAGTAGGAACCAAAGAGGAAATAAAGGAAGTTGCAAAGTCTATTCAAGTGGGACTTGAGGGTGTACACCAAGCCATAAAAAGGACTGGTGATGATGTACACCAGGCCATAAAAAGGACTGGTGATGATGTACGTATTGACGATGTACAACAGGCAATCAAAGACACCGGCGAAACAATAATGAAAAAATTTCATCCCATTGTCGGAAAAAAGAATGATCCAAGGACATCAGCGCAGTTAACAAAGAGTGCTCTCGTTGGAAGAGCGCAAAATAATGACCTCCAAGATGAGAGAAGGTCACATTTACAATGTGGATCATCAACTCCACCAGAAAAAATGTTAACGGCGACATCAACCCATAGTGAGTTCATTAAGGCCAATTTTCCTCAAAACACGTGCATTACACGTTTGATTTTCGAATGTTCAAGCTAACTGAGTTCCTACAGGGTACCCCTCTTTCAAAAAATTTTCCCGATTACCACTAAATGATATGTTTATTTTCTGTGTTAAGATTGCCAAGAAATTGCAAAAGTCGATCAACTTTTGCTCAATGAACGCGTCAAAGATGTACCATCAATTTTACGGTTTAATTTAGACTGACTTGAGGGTTTGTCCTGTACAATAAATCGCGGGAACTTCAGATATTTTTAATTTGGCAGTAGATTAGCGATACCTCTGGTCACACTTTTCTTGGTTATTTTCAGATTCGTTCCACGTGCAGAGATTCGTGCAACACACGAATCTTGTACAAAATTACTCCTGAAGGATAAGGTGTAAGACTATGGCATGGATTACCTTTATGTTATTGCCTATCTTGGGGATCCAGTTTTTTGGTTTTATTTACCCTTCCTTGTTCACATTAATTTGCATTTTACTTTACAGGCCCCCAAATTAGGACGTCATAAGGATAAAAAACACACATAATGGCACATAAAGAAGGTTTCACAATTATAAACTATTGATAATTACAATTTATAAGCCTGCTTTGTTTTTATAATCTTCTTTTCTCATTTTAAAGCAACTGGTTCAGGATCACGACAGTTACCAGCAGGAGACAACGTAGGAGAATGCAAAGAGCTTTGCGAGATTGCACGAGTTTTTGGAATGAAACCAGAAAATTTCGGGCAACATAAAGAAATGCGGGAAAAGCTTCATGAACACATCAAAGAAAGACGTCAGGAATCGAGGAAGGCAAGTTTAGCACAATATAGAGGGATACGTGGGACTGTCCATGTATCATGCTTTCTTTCATCTCGAAGATGATGGTACTTAATAACGATAAAAAGATGTTTCGTTATCGTTCATTCAAACCTTCACGCTGTATCTTAACGACAAAGCAAGGGCAAGACCTTGCCCTATACAAACACTGATTTCAAGATTCTGCTTTCCTCAGTCATTAGTTATCAAAGACATTTAATGTGTAACAAGAAATCGTTGACAGCTTTGGGATCGATGATTTCGAAGCCTGCTTTTTCCTATTATTTTCTTAATCTCACATGTATCTACTGTTGCCATTGTATGCTCATATGCGTTAATTGAGGTCTCGGGAATATGGAATTATTTTCTCGTTTGCATTCTTACTTTATCTTACTTTTATCAATCAAATTTATTCATAGTTTGTCTTTTCATTCATTATACTTAAATTCTAGGCTACCGAGGAGAAACCCTGGGAATACATAAAGTTGTTTTGTAGTTGGAATTTAATTTAAAGACTTAATTTTGATTTTAGCATTTCTTATTATAAATATCATTAATAATTTGTTCATTGATTTATCATAATGAAGATCTAGACTGACCTTAAAATGTGTTATTTTGTTGTCTTAAAATGTTTTATTTCGTTGTGTTTTATATCGAGACGTTTTCATTTCAATTTTTTCTTTTCAGACGTTTGAAGTGATCTCCGAAGCTGGTAAGGCCGATGAACACAAACGGAGTGAGCTTCAAAGTCTTTACATTGAAGCAAGAAAAATTATAAACCAGCTCGATGATGAATTCATAAATCCCCTTGAAACAAGCTTGGGAGATATCAAAACGGCTCTAGATGAAAACATCAGAAGTCTTGCGCCAAGGGATCAATATGTGGTGCTTGTTGCAGGTAGGAATTTAAAAGACTGAGGGTTTAAAAGACTGGAACTTTTCATGCATAGATTTTTGAACACCCTGCATTGCCCTCAGCTACCTCCACTATCCTGCAGTGTAAGGAGATTGTGATAATATCTCGGGAATCTTGAGTTTTTCCAGTAGTGCCGCTTTATTTAGCATTTACTTGTTTAGGAGTATCTCTTCAGAACTACAAGTCTTTTATCTAAAGATGTCACGTGCCTGGAATTTTTCATCTTCAGGTGAGACTAGTGCTGGCAAGAGTAGTCTTATCAACCTAATACTTGGCGAAGAGATTTTACCAAGTGCCGTTTTGAGTACAACATCGACAATCTTCGAGCTCAAGCATGATGAAACTCCCATGGTTGTCAAGCATTTGAAAGATTCTCTCGAACCTTTGCGTTACAATTTAGTTGGTCCGAAGGAGTCCTTCCTGATGCAGATAACTAATTTTTTGTCTGAAAAGAATGGCCGTGGGAGAGTATCCAGGTTCAGGAAAATCGAACTGTTTTGGCCGCATCCGCTGCTCAAGGTTTGTTAATTTTTGAGCACGCCCCTAATTTGCAAATATTCTTTTCTTCTTTCTGGATTTGGAATTAATATGACGGCTCCTTCTTTTTACATTTACATGGCAGTGTTGGAGAGAAGGTGATGGTGTTAATTCCAACTCTTGGTAAAATCTACTACATTATTCTAATTGCAAAATTACTTTCCAATAATTTTGTTTTTTAAAAAAGTTACTTTTCAAATAAAATTTCTCTAAACTGAAGCAAGAGAAACCAATTGAGAGGATTGAAGCCGCAGCTTTTGGTTCCATCTCTCCAACGCAGGATATTTCCAGTGCGAAAAAGACGTAATGATATATGTTATTCACCAGCCGGGAGTCCGTTTTGGGAAACTGACTGTTTCCCAGGTCTTGGATACCACCTGACTCCGTAGTACTCAAGACAGAAGGCACAGTTTTTTTTCCAATGCGGTCCGACCTAGGATGGTGAAGACCGTTTTCATGTTTTTTTTCTTACACTTAACAAAATGCTTTTGAAAAGAACCCGAGTTATTAAGGGCTGTAATTACGGCACCGTCGTCCACGTCTGTTTGTTTGTTTGCTGAAGTGGCGTGTCTAAATTTTATATTTCTTCCTTAAAAAAAAAAAACTTTGGTCAAATGGGCACTCTTTTTCGCTAGAAACAAGGGTATTTAATGTGGCTTTCACTCATTTAATTCCTTCGGTTTCTATGGTGGAACTTACGGTAGAAAAGATCAAATTCAAGGGAATTTCAAAGATTTAGCGAAAGTGTATTTTTAGGAGAATCGAAAACTCTACTCAGTGTTGTACGACGAACATAGTTTTCTTTGTCATGAAGTATGTTTTCCGTCTCAGGATGAAAAAATTCACTTTTGCTTTGATAACTTTCGTTGTCTGAATTCATACTTGTGAGTCACTTGCTACAATATTTACATCTTTTGGCCACACGTGAAAAGGTTGAATAGTGCAAATTGCAAAACTCGGAGCGGTCTGTATCCGAGGTCCAGTTGAGAAAATCTGGTCCGCTAGGGTGCGCAGAATTAGCCAATCAAAAAAATTACTTACGTTAATTTTCTACCACCCATATGTCTCCCAAAATGAGGACATTTCACTTACCATCCTTGTTACTATACATATTTCTACACTTTCGAACTATTGTGTCGAGCTGCCAGACCCTTTACTTAGAAAAAAACAAAATAAAAAACCAAAGACAACGGCATGAATAGAAAGAATATGCTAATTGATGTATGGAAATGGTTAATCTTGGGCTAATCTTAAATAATTAAGACGGCTTTACCTGTATCAATTAGGAGCGTGTCATCATTGTTGATAGCCCTGGAGTGGGAGATAGTGAGGCAATGAATGAAGCTGTCCTTAACTACCTTCCAAATGCCTTCTGCTTTATTTATGTCATCAACAGCAACAATGCTGGCGGAGTTCAGGAAGACAGAGTAGGTGGCTATTTCAAAGATCATTTAATGCAGCTCTTTATTCTTCCTTGGTTATTGTAACTAAATTATTAGTATCAGTTCCAGTTCGAAAGACATATACAAAGAAAAGAGTAATATATCACATTTTTCCAATGAAACAGTTTGTTGATTGAGATTAGGGTCCAGTCATTAATTTTTTTTCCTAGGGGAGAAGGGTATCGGAGAATTTTGGGGGCATTAGATGGTTTTAAGGGGGGAACGGAGGGGAAATCAGTCGTCGCTAACAAAGTGTAAAGGTGGGACTATTGAAAACTGCAACCAACGATGGTGGATCATTAGACTACTCTAGACCATAAGGAGGGATCAGGTTAATTTTATATTTTATTGTGACGAAAACGAAATCCTCCGACCCCCCCCCTCCCCCCCCCTCCTTTCATGACCCGTCCCTAAGTGCTGTTTTTGCAAATCGCTTTTCTCTTTGTAGACTAAATTTATACTGTCAAGAATCAGTTTCCATAGGTAACTGTAAAACAAAAAGGGAGGGAATGCTACCCCCCTTTTTTTTTTTACACTTTATCAGGAAGATCTTATCTAGGCAACTGTCCACTTCAGTAGCTGTTCGTTTATCCTGGAGACACATTAACAGAGGACAGCGCCTTTGGTCCCCGTCATTTGCATTTGTATCCCACTATATAACATCGTTTTGTAGACGAGTTAACAGGCTAATCAAAATAAGAACTGTTTTCAAAATATCGCGATGTAACAAGGAACGAAATCACTGGCGGGGGGATGGGGGTTCCAACCACCTCCCTTTGTATCACGGTGAGGTATGAGTTTGCATACACGTCCGAGGGTTGATAAAATCAGTTTAGGAACAAGTCTTCGTTCTTCGATTTATGTTCAAACGTAAGACAAAAGATTACGCCATAAGTCCCTACAATTTTGATTAAAAGGTATTTAAAGGCCACGAAGACTAACTTTCATTTCTCCTCCTTGATCAATCCTGATTATATTCTTTACCATAAAAGGCATCGGCTTGTCTACTTTTTTTATTTGAATAGCTGGGAATGTTACTATCCAATGCTGCGAGCCTCAAGAGAGAAGCGAAGATGGACTTAAAGCTGTTTTCTGGTTGTGCCTTGTTTGTTTGCAACAAATTGGACGAGATTAAACCCGATGAAGTAGAGGAGGTGAAATCGGAACAAATCAAAAGGCTCACCAAAAAGTTGGGTGGCCTCGACCCGCACTTACAAATTGTTTACCTGTCGTGCAAAGATGCTCAAATGGCCCAGGAATACGGTGTCGTAAGAAGCGACTTTGATGACCTGATCAGAGGGATAAGCAGTCTATTAGTGTCTTCCATGCAGAATAACTTGGAAATCTACACCAGGTAATTATAATAAATGAATTTTAATAATAATAAATAGAGAAGGCCTTATTGGAATCGAGGAAATGCTGTAAAGGGGGAAGTTTTGAAACAATAGAAGATACCTACCTCCCAAAAACAAATCATTTGAGAGTATTTTAATCCCATAACCTTAGTCATGATAAGATCAACTATGCTGCCCATGATCACAGCCTCCACGTATATTACGTCGATTTGAAAGATAAATTTTTCTTTTACGGTTTTGCAGATTTCTGATCTGTCCATTAGGTAGATGTAGGGAAAGGATTTCTACAATGCATGCTAATTCTAGGCAACATATGGCAGTCTTTCACTACAGCTAAAAAAAAGCCGTAAAACTCCAGAACAAAGCACTCTTGATCCCCTCGGTATTTACCAACGCTTTTCATGCAACTAAGTTATTTTTGTGCTTTTCACGTTACCAAGTTCCCACCAGTAGTGTAGCCCATCCTACTCTATATAAACCACTCACAACCAACGATTCCCCGTTTTTCTCTGACGAAGGGCAAAGGTTGGAAGCTATCTATGATGGCCGATTAAAATCGTCAACTCAGTTAATAAGACCACATACAGTACCATTCAAACCTGGTTTGATTCAACCCATGAATAGTTGAAAGGTGACAGTTCAGTTTCCTTGTCATGCACACTTCAATAACAAGCGCGTCGTGTAAAATTTTTTTAAGAGTTCTTGAAGGTAACTCATACACTACGACTGGAAAGAAATCATACGGGTCTCTTATAGCTCACAGCAAATTCGAAAGGATCGTTACTTTTCGTTGAATATTTAATTTTTTCTTTTGACAAGTTCTTTTTTTGGGTTACAGATGGCTTGATGATCTCCTATCTCGTGTGTCTCGTCAAATTACGTTATTAATCAGATCAACAACGTTGTCACGGATGGAAAAAGATGGGAAAATGACGGAGATCAAGAAACGAATGGAAGAATTACAAAGATCGCAAAACGAAACCATAGAAGAACTTGGTGAAAACCAAAAGCAGTTAATCTGGGAGATTACGGGAAAGTTGGCTTTTCACTTTAAAGCGACAGGCACATCAACCCGATTTTGCAAGTGGTCTCCTACCGAGGTCCCAGTTCCAGAAGCAACATGGGAAGAGACGGAAGATAAAATCTTAAGTAGCATCTCGAAACGGAGTCATCAGTTCGTACAAGAGTGGGAGGATGACGAGCACGAGTTCGCTAAAGCCCAGGACAAAATCATTAAAGATCTTTGTGAGAAGTATAATATCATGGAGGAAGAGATCCGCAAAGTAGAAGACGAAGTTCTCTTTGTAAACGGAACGGCGGAGGTTTTCCAGCAAAAAAAACGTACTTCTGGTCTCCGAAACATCCAAGAGAGATTTCAAAACGTTCCTATTGTGAAAAAAACTCCTGTGTGGCTCCGGCAAGGATTAGCATCTGTTGTAATTCGCTCTCCGTTGAGTAAACGTGTGTCAAAATTTAAGGAGAGGCTAGATTTCCCCAGAAAGCTCAAGAAGTACCAGACCGACCAATGTGCTTACATGTCTGAGAGATGCAAAGCTTCTCTTAAAGTTCTCTCGGACCGAACCCATCTCCTTCCGTTCATAACAGAACAACTTGAAGATTCGGTACGGGTTTTAAATCAGATAAAAGAGAAAATTCCCAAATTAATAGAGGGTGACAAGCAACTGTATCAACAGCTTCTGTCGGACACGAGAGGCAAGGCCGACATCCAGAATTTCTATGAACCCATAAGCAAGAAACTAGAGTCATTAAAGGAAAAAGTCTTCGTCTATGCTATGACAGAAATAAGGCGATCCGACTTTTCTGAGGGAGATTTGAAATGGACAGAAGATTCCAGGTCCATCGTCGGTAACGGTACTTTTTCCACAGTTTACGCTGGTGAACTCTCCCGTAAAGAAGAAAAGGAAATAAAAGTCGCTTTGAAAGTTTACACAGATCTTCTCTCAGAAGAAAACGTGTTTCAATTTTGGAATGAAGATATGACTATGAGGTTTGTCAGACTAAAGCAGTTTCATGAATATACGTTGAATTAGCCTCTTATATTAGTTCTTATTTTTTTAGCCTTAACTCAAATTAGTGTTACTGGGTCCAAGTGGTTTTAAAGGAAATGGAAAAAATGTTGTTTTAAGGCCACATCCTCCCACGCCGTTTAATCTTGAAAGCAAAGGGGCAGGCATCGCTCGCAACTCTCGCAATGGCGTTAATATTATTCCCGCAACACTCTGTATACTATTGAGCTGTTCGTTTAAGTAGTCTGTTCTTTTCTTCAATTTGAAACTACTCATTAAGTTGTAGCATAGAAAAATTCCTCAATTTCGCTGACATTCGCTCTTGGTGATTACACCACTTCACCTAGAGGAGCTGAAATAATAAATATAATGATTTATTGTATATCTCTTCTTTCTGATTTAGGCAGATACGCGGACATCGAAGTATTGTGGAGTTTTATGGGACACATCTTCTCAGAAGACCAGAGGGTACCAAAGTTGTGATGGTATCGGAGTTATGTATGGATTCCATCGAGACATACATTTTGTCTAATCGTGACCATGCCCCTTTCCGTACGAGGAAGAAAGTTTTACATTGGGCTATGCAAATTGTTGACGCTTTGTGCTTTATCCATGGTAAAGGACTTTCCCATCAGAATTTGAAACTGAAAAATGTGTTGGTAAGCATGTGTTTCTCATTAGCATCTTATGATAGTGATTTGTGTTGTTTTAAAACCATTAACTCTTATGTAATGTAAATGCGAAATCCGCCCCTGTTAAGTTACGTTTGAATTGCATAAGGTATGAATATGTCGGCGAGATATTGAAGTGGGTATTGTTTTATTACTAATGTTGCAGCAGTACAAAATCTTAAACTCTTACTTTAAAACATCTTTGCGTGTCTCACATCGAGTGAGAAAGGCTCTTCTTGACTGGAATCAGTACAATTCTCTTGAAATCGAATGCAATGCAAATTGGATTACGAACCTTTTTAAGCATGAAGAAAGCAAAATCTGCTGTGGTTTACCTAACAGTTCTCCTTTGTCAAACTTTGAATCGGCAATCATCCAGCTTGTACACTTTGACTCTAAAAGTGCATCTTTGCCAAAATCGCATACAGAATTCTAGTTGTAGCCACAACCATTAATCTTAGGAGGTAATGAGGTTACTCATTGCATTCAATATTTCAGTTAACCCAAGGCGAAAACGTGAAGCTCAAAGGCATCGGCTGCGGTTCATTTAGAGTGAATAAAGATATCATGGAAGATAACACTCGTTATCTGGCACCTGAAGTCTTGGAAAGTGAGTGTCGAAACTACGACAGTAAGTCTGATATGTTTAGCTTCAGTATTTTGCTCTGGGAATTGTGGTTCTGTGAGAAAGCTTTTCAAACCTCGATCACCAGTCATTCACAGCACTTACAAAGGCTGAAGAGGGGAATTCGCCCGGCACATTTAGAGGGTAAAGACCGTCCATGGCAAGTTTGGACAGAAGTCATGGAAACATGCTGGAAAGGTGAACCAAGTGCCCGATTAACTGCTGAGGAAAGCAGGAACAGATTACATAGCTTAGAGTCTGCTTAGAGGAAGACACAACCAGGGCGACCAACACCACCACCGAAACCATCTCGATGGTCAAAACAAAGCTAACACCATAATCATCTTGAGACTTATCCGTTGTTGTTTCAATATATTTCAATTGAGGCTCGCTGTCTAAAATGTTAAGAAGAATAAATAGCACGTGTTAATGTTAATTTTTTTTTATAAAAAATGATAATAGTGACAATAGTATGAAGAAGACAACATGAGGGCTAAGAGCAGCCTTAAAACCTGTTTGAGCGGTCAATTTTCGCTCAGTATTTTTTCTGCATTTTTGTCCTCTTTGGAGTCAAATCTTCAGGGGCAGGACCGATAAGGTTTAACAATATGATAGGTCGCACAGCGCGGGTTCATATGGTTAGAAATCTTTGTAGCGGTCGAAAGACCGAAGTTAGTATCATAAGGACCTCAAAGTTACAGCAACAGGAAAATTTCACGTTCGAGACCAGTTTTCTTTACGAAAACAAAGGAAGATTCCTTCCATAAACTTGTTTATCATAGCATTAGTCTACTGCAAATCAGCTTGGTTTGCTACGCCGTTTGGTGTCTCCAAATGCCATGGCGTGCTTGTCATTTTTCCATGCCCAAAGTTATTTTGGGTACCGCTCAATGCAAGTTTCATTGTTCGGTTCCTTTACGCAACAAAATTTGTGCTCCTCGTTATCTAACACTTGAAATTCGGAAGGAACAAGATTAGCTGTTAGATAGGCGGTATACCACTAGTAAAGCTGACAATGAACGGTCTCAGAGGTTTGCTGAGTAAAGATCTAGAAAAATTAGCATATGAAAAGTGCGTCGTAGGTTTTGACCGTCTCTTGAGGTGGAATGAAATCTGTGAAAGTTATCGTTGATTAGTTTGCAATGCTGCCGCCATAATGGTGTAGTTTGATCGTCCGGGTGAGTGTAGTCCTGAGAAGGACTGTTGTCGGTAGTGGTGACTGACGTTTCGATAACCTGAGCGGAAGTCATCATCAGAGTCAAGTGAAAGGTTGTTGTCAGTCGAATGTACTTAGTCCGGTTTGTGTACATTGATTGGTCAGTTTTGCCGTGATGTTATTGGCTGTAAGACTCAAGTGGCGAAGAAAATGGTAAATTACCTTTTCTAGACTGCTTGGTAAGCCGTGACGACAATTCACTATGGACAACAGTTTACCGACAGATTACTGGACGAGTCATCCTACAACCCGACATCACACAAAGCCACTACTATCAGGACTCTTACCCGACGAGCGCAATTAGTATGTAATACGACAGACAGCTTATCCGACGAGAACAAGTACCTTAAGCGTGTTTTTTCAAAGAACAACTACAAGTTAAATAGCAAAATGAAATCAAACGTCGGATCTCTGTATTTTTTGAAAGACCTAATATCTTAAGTTATGCAGAGGACAAGTATAATGACAGACGCGGAAAACTCGTAATAACTCCTCATCCTAAGGATGTTGTATGCATCAAAATGTGTAGCGAAATACAAATATTGATTGTTGTCTGATTCATTACTTTGTCACCTTACTAGCACTCCACATATATTCCTTTAGCTTTTAAAAAGTATGCCACTATTCCCAGTATGGAAAACAAATGAGTTATGTTTTATAAATTTTACAGCGAGGTTTAAGAGGTTAAGTTAAATAGCTCAGTCAGCTCAATGAACGTAGTTGTGCCTCGACTTGATATGGAGAGATATTTTGAGTGATAAATATATAGCAAGTGTTAGTTTTAAGTGTTGCAACGTTGGTTCAAGTGATATTATCTAGTATGTGATGGTGCATTATCAAATTGCAGATCAAAACTGCCTGACAAAATTTCTCATGGAAAAACAAAACTCCATAGTGTTTAGAATCAATGCCCTCTCCATGAAAACGAAAGATTTGAAAGAATTTAAATTCTTCATGATGTCGAATTAAAGCCGGGTCATTTGCCAGACGGATTTTATTGTTAAAAGTAATCACTGGCTGATTCCAATCACATAGACTTCTGCGATATCCTTTCGAAGGAGCCCACGTGAAACACAACTGAAAATGCGTCATGAAACGGAACTACGCACTCCAATGATCGATAAACACTCTTTCACCCTGTGCGTCATTCGACCATTACTGACCGTTACCATTTTTTTTGATGAAGAGCTAACGCTCGGAAAGACAGCTTTAAAACTCTTTATGGTGGCCAATCCACATTATTTTCTTTTACGACCAGCAACACAGTTTCTCTAGAAACTTACCCCCTTAATTCGTTATTGTCAAATTTGAGTTCAATATTTCCCTGACAACATTTACACCTGTCGCAAATGTAAGCCTGAGGTTCTTCAACAGCAACAAAAACTTTACTCGTTCTACAGTTAGAATCACACATCATTGTATGTCACGAAAATCAGCAGTAAAGACAGTCGCTGGTTACTCAAAAGAGCTTAAGAGCTAAACTGGTTGGTTGACTTTCTGTCAATAAAAGCTTCGCAGATCGAGAGTGGTCTTCTCCTTTATACTGACCTGGATACTGACATAAAAAAAATACCAACGATTTTCTTCAACTGGGCTGTTTATCGATAAAACGTGGGATTTCTCATTAAAGTAAGATGTTCATCAAATTGGAAAAACGTTGCATACGAAAAATCTCCAGCTCTGTTAAAATAAAGTCCAATCAATAAATTTATCGGTTCGCTAAGACTTCAAGAGGTTTAGAAACTGACTGAGGGAGCAAGCGTTGTAGGAATGCATACTAAAATCAAGACGAAGTTGAACAAACGGATACATTTTAAAGCCAAGCAAAAATAACCGATACCCTGACAACTGGATGTCACAACATATTTCCCGAATCATGAGTGACAACTGCCAATGCAAGAAAGATGGCTCATGGGGCGTTTATTAGGCTCTGAAATGAGTTCGCGATTACTGTGTCAAAGTTAGCCCTTCGTCAGAACCAGTTCCACTACTGGTGAAAGTGTGTGAAAAAATCCTATTCGTTTCGTTAACATCAAACTCACTAAAGCCATATCCGAAATTTCTTTTTTGCAACTGACCTAAAATTTTCCCTCGGCCTCTTAAAAAAAAGTCCCAGATATGTCACCTCATTTGGGGCACTGCTATCAGAGCCGAAAATGTTATCGAGCTGGAAATAATTTAGCAAAGCAAAATTATTCTGACTGTCATAACATTTCTATAAGCACATAATTGTCAAACGCTGTCCCGTAGAATGTTACAGTGAAGGAATGAGTCAGCTTTCTACAATAAAAAAAAAAGGGAGAGAGAAGCTAATTAAAAAATACTTATTTTTTTAACGGTGAAAACGTTAGTTAAGAGGAATATCCTATGAAAAACAGTTAATAGCAAACGCTGTATGACAAATTGCACTAAAAAATCTCTTTTAATGCGGAGGCGCTATTACTATATCAAACGTAGGATAACAATAAGCCTGAACAAACAATTAACTTCTAAAAACCTTAATAGATGTTTCGCTGTTCCGTATTTTTCATATATTTCCAACTATTGATGCAAAGGCAGCTAAGATTATCAATTATCTATTTTTATTATTAGTGGTAGTAGTATTATTATTATCATTATATCATCATTAAAGCCCTACATAATAAAACATTATCCTCTAAATCTTGTTTCACTATACAAATTTTCCTCGATTTCGGGGGAGCTACATTAAACACAAAGACAGCTAGTTAGATGTGGCGCATAAAACGACTGTCATGGTAACTTGCCATTCACATATCTGAATATTTTTCTCTATGCAATTAGACTGTCTGTTTGTTGATAAAGTTATTAATTAATAATTATATAAATGACCATTACCATCAGCTCTTACTTATTATCTGAAACTAAAAGGAATAAGATCATTATTTGTAATTGAAAATTGCTGCCGTTATTGATTGATCGGCTGATTCATTGACTCCTGTTACATTGACGTCCTTCCCCCTTTTTTACTTTACTCGTAAGTTTTGGTGGCTATCCATGTTTTTCAAGGCAGCTTGGGCTTTTGGGGGAGCAGAGAAATATTGAAAAGAAGTCACGTGTGGATAATTTTAAATATCATTAAGTCTGAGACATACCTTAAGGTCTGTGTTTGAGCAAGGAAGCTGTTGTCACAGGTCCGTTGAATTCATCTGTTCAAATTTTCAAGGCTACACGTTTTTGACGTTTGAGCTTTCCTTTATACACGGTGGCCAATGCATTGGTCCTCACAAGAGATTCTTCTTTATCTATCCATTCTAGATCATCGCAATTGATGTCGATAATGCTCACCTCTTTGATGCCGAACCTGGCCGCGCGCTCCGAAAGGCATAAATTTCTCTTGTGTAATGAATCGCAGAAATTATATTTTTCTTTGTGTAAGCGGCCTCCTTTACTCAGTTTTTGACACAAAATTTCATCGGCCTCGATGAGCTGAGGAATGAGATGAACTACTTGACTCAGTTAAGCTTGCGACTCTTTAACCTCTTTCCTAAAGTAAGACATGAGGTAATTTTCATTGGCTGAGCTACTTAAATGCTCTTCGGGAGCAACTTTCATCAACTCAACTTTGTTTTTGTCGAATTGTATCTGTTTATGCAAATGTCTCCTTAAAAGAAATGACACCAACCAAAGGAAGGCTAAGCGTTAAAGCAACCAAACCGAGTGGAGCCCAAATAGGACTTGTTACACAATTCCTCGAGCCAAATCCCAGTGATCTGGAGCAACTTGAGGAAAGTTGCTTTTAGTACCTCTTTCATTATCTGCTGTGACTGCGCTCTTTATGATTTGAAGCTGATGCTCCATTACATTGAATCTTTGCCGAAAGTGCTTGATCAGAGAAGTACGAGTGTTGGCAAAACATGATTCTCTTCTTCCCAGGTTCGTATCACGTAGCTGAGCTGCTTTCGGAGTTTTTGTCAATGGTATTGTCAGTCGCTGCCTAGCTATCTTGGTGTACTGGTACATCATCTGATGTCCACAAAGTGAATTCTTCCTGTACCCTCGGGGATTTGAGATAACAGGACAGGTCACGGGCAGCAGTACCTATTCTGCTGTCGAGATATTCCTGAAGCTCTCTCTGTACTGATCCCTGTTGTTTTTTCATACTCTGGAGACGTTTCGCCTCTAATACAATTTTCTCGGTCTCTTTTCCTCGATTTTCGAATGAATTACGAAACAAAGCTTTTGTTAAGTAAGCCATAAGAGATAGAAGATAGTAAATCCACCTAACAAAAGAATAATAATAAAAAATTCACTCTTTAAAACTTTGGGAATACTCGATCGATCAATCACTCGACATTTGTCAGTATGGATTGATTAACTGATTTCTGATCACTGATTCCCATCGTAAATCTTACTCTTCCACAGCTTTCAAAACTGTGTTATTTCAGCTGCAGACGAGATCGAGACATCACAGTAATGGTTTAAACAATGACGTGCTTAAGGGTTTCGCATGAAGGCTTGAAAACATTGGACGATAAGAAAAGCGCAGTGACACAGAAACTCAAAATGTTACCGAAAAAATCAAATTGGAGGTAAAGACGATCAGCAATGCGAGGTTAATTCATCTAAGTGTCATGGATCAGAAAATAACCCTTAAATAAAATTATAGCAGATATTAACACCAGATTAAGTCTTTAGTTACGTGACAGCTGTTTCCACAAAGCATTAAAATCACGGCTGAAATCGATGATGTAAAGTCCATGCCTTAAGGAAGAAGAGATTGCTTTAAACAAAATTGTTTATGAACCGAGCTGTTGATTAAATGAAGCTGCCGCTCGATTCAGGGATGTGACTCCAAGTTTAAACCACTTTTTCGAGTTTTCCATTGATTGCCCCTTGCTGCCTTTATTTTTTCAGTTTGTGTATTTTAGAACATAAACGGAGCGAAGTTGGAAAGTTAAAAGTTGTCTTAGCCACAAGAAGGGCATAATAAGAGTTCTTTGATGGTTCTTTGAACCACCTCGTATCAGCTTTCACTAACGTGACTACTTTTGAAGAAATCATTGCATTGACCTGCTTTAAAAGCTCTGTCATCTGGCGCACGTTGATTAAAGTCTTTGAATTAAGCGAGAAATAATATGACTCATGAGAGGTGTCAAAGGTAGTTTACTGTTATATCGTGACACTACGTGACGCTGCAATTAACTATGTAACGTTTTACATAAACTGTTAAGATTATAAAGTTAGTTTCGAGTCTGGATGATGATTTATAATGGTAATTGAACTGAGTGGAGTGCAATCTGGGCTGAAATCGCAAGTACCATTTCAAACCAAAATTGCACGACACGAGGATTAATTACCAGTTTATTACACCCATTTTTAAATTGCCCAAATACAGGACTTGGTCGGTTCAAATATTTTATTGATGCAGTACTAAGCCGGTTTAAAATTAAACTCATCCATCTGGGGGGGGGAATAAGAGTTTTGGAAACAACAGTTGCAAAATTTGCCACATGATGTTCTTTGCCTTTCATTTTCTTGCAATTTGATCGGTTACTTTAAACAAGCCTTGTAATCTGATTGCTTGTTTTGCTTTTATTGTAGCCTCCTCATTGGCTGGGATAAAGATGTAGATGAGGAAGAAAAATATCAATTAGTTATGTACAGACTAGACCGTGATTAAAGATGGGTTCTTGTTATTTACGATGATACTTCGATTAGTAATAGGTATACAACTGTTTCGTAACTTTTTTAAATGTTTCCAAGGAAATGTTCCCTAATTAAAGATAAAGTTTTTAGTTGTGTGTCATGGAAACGCAAAGATTTGATCTCTGAGAAATACAAAGGTTTGTATTTGTTTTGTAAAACGTAGTTCTTTCGTTCACATAAGTAAAATGGTAACTATAGGTACATCGCGTTTAATGAATGGACGCTTGAATTTATTGAGAACAGGCTATAGGATACATTTATTTCCGTGATTTAAATCTTTCGTTAATAAACTGATACAATACTAGAGATATGCATACATTATATGTGATGATAACTGCAGCTATTTTCAGTCAATTCAGATGGTATTACATACATTACAACTGTATAAGTTGTCAACAAGATTCACAAAGTATGTCAACACGTTGTGGATACAATTTTAAGCAAAATATTTAACCCTTCTTCGCCAATTTCCTTTTTTTTATTCTGCAGTCACGTAAGTGCTCAGTTGTCTTTAATAAATTTCGGCCGATAAGAGAAGGACGTCTACCAAGAAATGCTATAGTTCGAAATAAATGCATATGTATCCGCATTTTGCAAAGATCCCGTAGCTAAGAAAAGATTCTTAAAGATGATTCAGAAAGCGGTTTTGTCAGGCAATAACTACAGTTTGTTTTAACCCTTTAATTCCTCCCTTTAGCTGCTACACACTTCCATGTAAATTAGGCGCACGAATTTGGTATTAGATCAAATTACCTCTACCTGATAAGTTTGAGTATTCTCATTACCTGTTTTCTGGATGATGAAGGTACATTATTGGGAGAAGTTACAGTTGATCACTTCTACGAGTTAAAGGGTCAATAACCGGCCCTACATGTTTGTCATATCCGAATACAAAGAACTTGAAGCAAAAGAGCTCCATCACTCTACAAATTGACTTGAACTGGACTGAGTGCTGGGATTTCATTTGAGGGAGAACAGCAAATACATGAACATCACAATGAAAAACCTGAATTATTGCTTCTTCAACATATTGACTTTATTGTATATAGTCTATATATACCAACGTGATGTTGAGCTAAGTTACGACGACTTTCTCCGCTGTTTTTCTGTGGTTATTTGCGGATGTTATCGTAGGAAATCAGTTTCATATGGGAAAAGTCATTATTTATCACCTGTGGAGAGGAACACATGGTTTTCAGGGGGCAACGGAGAGCGATCAGTCGCGTCTAAAAGAGGTTAAAGTGGGACTATAGAAAATTGACTATTTATGAGGAGGTGATGAGGGGGGGGGCCATGTAGTTTGGAGTTCCCATTTAAGTACCTGTGATCATGTCTTCTTCTTGAGATAGGCCGACATCGGCTACCTTGACAAAATTATCATAGTGTCACAATAGTCATATTCAACTGTCAATTATCCAGATAACTTGATAGATGACCATACAAAGATGATTTGCCTACCAAACTATAAAAAGAAGTTTTTGTGCAGGGTGAGTAGTCTCTCGTGCATAATGCGAGACTGTAAGACTCAGATTCCGAGTCCATTGTAATTCAAGTCCATCGTAATCCGAGTCTATCAACCCATCCAGCCACTCACCTTCCTACCCATCATCGACATGGATAAAGATCGAGAATTAAACAGCATTTTTTCGACAGAAGCTATTTCAATTGTCTCGTTGTTTGAGGACGATAGAACCCTTGACTTCCATCATTCTGCACGCATCTGATTAGTGTTGGCCTCTCTAGCCTTCTGAGTTCGTAAACTTAACCGGTATCTCAGGTCAGGGTTATTTTGCAAAGGAATGTTTCGGAAACACAAGCAGGAATTTTTTTTACTGTATTTTTCCTCCCGATATTAATGATGATTCCTCTGGTTATCGACAAGTCAGCCATGGCAAAGGAAAAAAGAGAGAAAGAAGGCTGTCACTGACCATATTACTTCTGAGTACTAATCTCGCAGAGGATACAATCTTAAGACTGGACCATATTTGGAGTTAATAGGCAAATGTTACAAATTATGGTATTTACACGTGACTTCAGCTTTAAAAAAAGGGCTGGATAGAGATTTCGTGTTCTCTAACGACAAAGTACACTTTTCGGTTTTTAAAGGCTTTAAAGTTTTTCTTTTTTCTACAGACCTACCGTTGTTGTGTTTCCATCTTCACGAATATCAGCTGACCAGCTATACTGCCTTTGCATGAGGCTCTTTAGACTCTCTTTGTATTTTGCAATTGTCGTCTATACATAACTACAGTGTCACAGAAATTTGATACAATTAAGTGATGATGAGTGAGTGTGAAAAATGAGACTTTCTGTTATCGCGAGTTGTTAACTTTGACAACGGCTATAAATAACAGAAGTTTATTAAAAGATAACGATTGGGAAAAGAACGTGACTTTTCGTGGTCACGAACATGAACTTAGATGCATATTTCCGGCTGAATCTCTGTGGGAAGTTAGGAAAGTACCGGAGGAGCAGAGGCATATAATGCTAGCCATTGTTAATTACGAGACTAAATCAATTACTCGCGGTAAGTATTGTTATAAACGCACCGTTCGAGTTACCTGCAAAAATGTTATTCCATATCAATGTAATGCCTTTAAGAGAGAAATGGTATCTCCCTTAAACAGTATTCATCTCCTAGGGAGATTTCGAGCTCTAGTGTGAAACTGACGAAGATCCCTGTAAAGAAAGAGTTCCTAAACCTAAGAAGACAAATCTGGGATTAGCCAGTATTTCATTTGAACCCGACAAAAACTTTATTACGTAAAACCGTTAGCGTCTCATTATGAATAATCTACTTGAGAGCATAATCTGTGATGTGTATTACGAAACATGACGACGGGAAATTCCGTTATTCTTTATCCGCCATCCATATCTCCTGAAATTGTTTCAAGCATTTAATATTTCCCACCCTCTTCTTGTGCTCTACTAATGCCATTATTGTTCACTAAGCGTGCATTGTGGCATTGGTCTCTGTGTCTGGAGGAAATTTGAAGCTAATAAATAAACGTTTAACGGTATACTTACATTTTAACTTGGTTATGGTATCGAGTGCTTTGTGGGTTGTTTATTGAGCGTCGGAACCGTGCGAAATCGCAACGTCTTTTAGGTTTGATTCCTTTGAGGTGACTTAGACGTGACTTAGACGTGAACTTTATGTGTTCCACGCCTTAGCTCAAAATTACCATCTTTCTTACTCTTACTCTCTTTGCTGAAAAGTAACCAGTGAGCGTGCAAAGGATGAAGGGATTGTGCAGGAGGCTTTGCTTATTACTTCTACTTTGTTTCTCAACGAGTTCGCCTGTAACACGGCAGAGGTTGTTGCGATGTAATGATTGAATAGTTGATCTTCTCAAATTAACCGCAACCAAGTTGCAAGGGTACGGCAAGGGCAAGGGTAACAATCACAAACTCGAGAAGATTCAACTTTTTTTTTTACAGTTTCCTTCTTGGCCGAAAATTATTAGCATTAGTTTCGTCCTGTCTTGATTTCATAGCAACAGACTGCGAGCTAAAAATCGTCTTCAATCGTTCAAAAACGAACAATAGTTAAAAGTATATTGCTAGAAGGTGTTGGAAGTAAACCTTTGAATTAATCGGGCCTTTATTTTAAGAGTTCGTCATAAACGTTTCATTTACCAGAATATAGAACGTATTATTTTCGTATACAAATGTGTACTTCTCAGTTTGAAACTAGGCTCGTAAGGTCTCTGAGAGATTTTTTACTCATACCTTTGGAACTTTTGAACACTTACACTGCCTCTATATTTCAAAGTGCTGAGACGATTCTTACTTTCGGTTTACTTTACTCATAAAGAGTAATAATGAATAATCGTTATCATAATGCATGTTTCCTTGCATTTCACTCTTTTCTATCTACTATAGCAATCAGAACGAGTTTGTAATCAGGCCGCCAATTGCTGTTGTTGGTCTGTAATTCCAGCTTTAAATATGAAATACGTTAAGATGATTACCTCATGACCAGTGTTCATTGAGGAGGTTCGTAAACTTCCTGGAAGAGCACAGTCAACAGCTTGTGACACTCTGTCGCATCAGGTCGAATGTGGGATTTTCCGTCCCAGCAACGCTGCATTAGATCCTGCCAGCCAGTTGGAGGCTGAAACGTGCCTTGTACATGTGAAGGTCTTGCACCCTTAGCCACTTTGTCCGACATATGTCCCCCTTCTTCAAGGATAGCTCTCTTACCATACCACATCTCCCAAAGCATTATACCAAAGCTGTATATGTCAGCCTTGTTATCATATTCTTTGCAACGGGTCACTTCCGGGGCAAGGAAGGCATCAGTTCCCGTTATCTTGTCTGCAATGATCTTAGCCTCTTCAGAAAGGCGAAAACCAGAGACCTTAACGACATTTCTTTGTGAAAGCTATAAAAAGAGGTGAATAATATGAGCACAGTTGCTATAACAAGGCCTCTTCTGCAAAATTGAGTGGAAGCACTCGCAGTTCGTCACTTGACACCATGAACGATTGATTAAAGAGTACTTAAGCGGATTTTAACAACTATTACATTTAATTTGTAAGTCTTAATTATCTGGCTAACTTATTAGATAATTCATGATGAATTGACCCTCAAAAACATACTGAAATCGAAGCAACTATAGAAATTAAATTCTTAAAATATTCTGAAACTTACTAAAATTTTCTCCAGCTTGAGTCCGCGGTGAACAATACCCTGGTTGTGTATGAACTCTATGGCAGCAGCTATGTCCTTTGCCCAGCACAGTACATTTTTCTTGGTAGAGGTTATTCCGGAAAATCCAGGAATATTATTAGGATTCTGAAAAATGTGATTCATCAAGTTTTCCTCGCAAAATTCCAAAACGTCGATCACCCGCAATCGATCGACTTCCTTCAGCAATGCTGTCCCAAAGAACTTGACAATGAAGGGAAAGTCAAGCTTCCTACAAAAGATATAATTGCATCGACCTTTATCCAATTTTGTTTGGATGTCAAAGTACCCGAATGTGCCGGTGTTTTTCAACTATTATGTTATCATACCAATCTAGCTAAATCAACTTAATTTCTATTGCTGTCAAATCACATTAAATTCTTCTTTAGACAGCCCTCCTTTATATATTAACTGCAACTAGATTTATTAATTTTTTATTTGATGCACAGTACTTTTCCCTAAATGCATTCCAGCGTAAAATGCCCAGAGTCACTAACCTTAATGTTTCTGCCTTAAAAAAGAAGCCAATTGCGGTGGATTCGTTTAGTTCTCTAATCCACAACTTCACAGCTACCTGTGTTGGTTCGCTTTGTCCTGGTAACCTGAATGTTCCTCGATAAACTGAGGCGAATGCTCCATTCCCAAGAAGTGAAGTTGGATCGTCACGATCCCACTCCAAGTCATTACGACTTATTTCCGTGCTCTGTAATTCTTTGATAAAAAAGAGTGCCATCTTTTCCTTTATTCTTACACTCATCTCTTCTAAGGGGCCATAGGATTCTTTAATTTCCTTCCTAGAGCGAGTCTCATCTCTGAGCTGCTGACATAGTATTTTTTCGGCGGCTGTGAGCTCACGCAAACAAGATGAAACTTTCGTAAGGTAAACCTGAACATCTTTGAGCTCCTTCTCCACGAACAACCAAAGCTGTTGCTCTTGAGCCACATTGCGAAGGTATTCACGGGAGGCTTTCACGATAAATCTATGTTTGCCTTTTTCGTATTTACTTGAACGTTTCATATTTTTTAGTTTCTCTTTAAGCCCTATGGCACCCATAACTGGAACACTACAAACTGTAGCTGCTAGGCCGATTGAAACCCAGATTGGACTTGCCAGCCCGATCATAACTTTTTGGGCCGCACCGAAGTCACTTGAAGACTGGAAAGTATGTATACTAGCAGCATCCATGATGACGGGGTTCTCTAGGTATCGGAATGGAAGTAGACTCTTCCCTTTATCAAATCGCTGGTGGGACAATTGGACCAGAGAGGTGCGGGTGTAGGATAAAATTTGGTTTTTTTCTTCCCAAGCGGCAATCGTGTTCTGAAGTCGCTTCTTAAATGCATCTTGGATAAGATGTTCGGTCACCTCCCAACTTTCTCCAGCGTGTGGAATATCTTCAAGCGTCCAAGAGGTAAATTTTTCCATAACTTCACAAGACTGGAGGTGGTTGGACAGTACCTTCACGGCGTCGTCTGCCAGTTTTCTGAGATGCTCTTGCAACTCGTATTCAACTGAGCACAGCCACATCTCAACGTCACTAAGGTGTTTAGCATGTAAATCAGAAACGATTTTACGATCGGTGGACGGGCAAAGGAGATCCATGACCATTTTTATGTGGTAGGCCATACGTGAAATGGCCAAGTCAAGCCACCTGGGAGATTTTGCAAATTTCAAGTTTATTTCACACCAAAATGTTTATTTAATTTATACTCTATCATTCCATGTGGCGTTTGGGAATATGGCTTTTACCAAAGTTTTTCCATAAAGTACTTTCCAATAACCATCCAGAGAGATAAGGCCCTGTAATTTTTCTATGCCTTTACGTATGTGTAAAATTATAATTTTCACTGTGCACATGAATGAATCTCATTAGATCAAGACATAAGGGCAACATAACTTGGTCCTCTTAAAATGAGTCAAGAAAAAGATAAGAATGGGATGCAAAAGATTGCATCACTTAATCAAGAAAACTGCTAACTCCAGCTAGATTAAGATTTAAATTAGGACCATAATATCTTCACGCAGCTTTTTGTAATGACAGAACGTACCTCCACTGCATTTGCAGTGTTGCTTTAATGTTTTGCAAGGCGTTGGATTTAATGGCATCCATCAGCGACGCAAACTCTGCAACAGCTGTTCCATAGTTTGTGGTGTAAGGCGATGATATGTGAATGATTTGAGAGTCTGGGTCTACTTCAGGCCAGTATTCTCTGAATTGTCTGACGACGTGATTTTTCATGGAATCAGCCTCTTTTTGAGATAACTGATGCCAATTGGTACATAGGAAAAGAGGACAAATTAACGCGGTTTCCAGATGGTCAAGACATAATCTTCTGCATTGTTTGATTGCTTCTTTCATCTATAAGGACAAACGTACACATGGAGTTAAAAATAATAATAACATATTTAACCGGGGAAAACCCTTTAGCAAAAGCTGTTATAAATGGTTTCTCTGGGCATTAAAATGATAGTAATAAAGAAAATGATTACAGCCATGGTAATAATAATAATGATTAAAGTAATTGGTAATAATTACGATCAGCATAAGAATGATAATAACATTGATGATGATGATAACGTTAACTGTAACATTATTGATTATTATAAAAATAATATGATAATAGCTTACCATTCCTATTTTGGATTCTTTCTGCCGAATTTTTCTCATCAATTTAGTCAAATACGTCAATATAAGGGCGGCTAAGACTTTGTCTGCCGCGGGATAATTGTATTAGTCAGTTTATAATTTGAAACATGTTGCTGCAAAAATTAAACAAATGAAAGCCCTGCTATGGAAAACGCTGCGGGTGTTTTAACTTCACCTGTCCATGCAGCTTACCCATTGTTGCTGAGTTAAACTCTCAATGACGCAGATAACTGCGAAGGCCTCAGAAAGGTACGCCTTTACTTTCACGTCTACGATCGGTGATTTTCCAAATTTTGGACTGTCAACTACAACGATTCCTTCCTAGAGGAGAGAAGGATGAGAGGTAAGTGAATCTTAAAACAAGTCAAATGACTCTTTTTCTAATAAATATTTTTGTAATTGTTTTTTTTTAAACATCTCTGACTTTTTATCTGATCAAGAAATCAAGTTACAACTGTTCTCCTGAAGGATTAGATTGCGAACGAAAACAATGTATGTTAGGTGTCAAAGATAATCCGTCAATCAACAATATATTGAAAGACCTAAGTTTGCCAAGAATAATGCTTGATGGTAGCTTGTAGCAACCCTCAAGTCAATATTTACAATATATGCCCTCAGCTAGCTAATCACCAACCTTAAGCAGGTTGTTTGGCCAAAAGATCTCAATTTTATCAAAAACTGAACCTTGCAGATCTTCATTTTGGAAAAACCGGGAGACTTTTTGAAGAAAGATATGTGGAGAGTTCACAGCCATCTCGTCAGGTTGGATAGTCTTTGAAGGAAGGCCTGTTTGAGGATCTGCGTCTTTTTAGTGCGCTACTAGCTTGTGGGTTTTTCCATATCTAAATTCGCAGACAACGGAAGAGGTGCCAAAAAAGGAGTCAGGGAGAAGTTGTTCCCCAAGAATTAGACTCAGCAATGCGCTCTTTTTCGGATCTCTTTCACCTGTGGAAAAAATCATTAGTTTTAAGAAAACTATGAAATTGGTTGTGTTTAAATTTCCAGATCGTTCTCTTTAATGAGTCCTGATTAGGTTCTTATCGAAAATATACATCGTTTTTACGACCATGAATGACAAGAATCTTGACTTATAACGGAAATTGCCTCGAGCCTTGTTCGTATGAAGACAAAAGAGGCGTTATTAGGAAAACATTAAAAAAGATATTTTACTGAAGCGAAAAGTTTGGAAAACATGGGAGCCACTTTCACTTATCTCATGCATATAAAAGAGACGATAAGTGCAATGAAAATGTTTGTCGTGAGTTTTTATTAGTTTAAGATATCACAGCATATGCATTTCTGAAAGAGAACATGTTTTGTGATCAAGATGAGTTAATTCAATTGAAACAAGAAAAAACAACAAAATAGGCATAGTTAAAAGGGAAAATGTAGTGAAATTAAAAGTGAAGTCTGGTACACATTGACATGAAACTGTGAAAGACGAGTAATGTCTGTCAAGTATTTCGTGTCTTACTCCTTTGAAAGCAAGTGGCGTAGTCCTGTGGCGGAGAGTCTGTCTGAGAGCGAATCGAGTAGTTGGCAGGAAACTTAAGCTTCGACACGCGCACATGCTTCAACTTCTACGTAATTACGAGCTTTTAAAAATTTCTTGAGAGACCAACCTAAAACAAGCACGACGTATTTCTCTCTCTCTAATCTCTGTATGTGTTAGGCTAATTGGTTCCTGAGATTTTTCACTCCCAGCTCCAGGAGAGCGTAATCCTTGTCACTCATCATATTCAGACAGGCCTCTGTGCTCTCGCATAAATCTAGCAAGCGCGTCTGTCTTCTCTCGACTTCTTTCCTGGCCTCTGTCAATGCTAGAAAGGCCTGATAAGTGGAGCATGGATTGATTAAATTTCTTTGCAAAAATATCACTATGACAATAAAACTTAGACTTATCTATACTATTTATCTATGTCGGTCACTCAATATTAGACAAATATTACTTCAGTATGGTGTTTTCTATAACTAATTAAGCTAGCGTAGTCACGAACTCTTTTCCTTGCATGCACATTTCATTCTGCAGTCGAACCTGTATTTAGTGGTCACCCAAAGGGAATGACGGGGTGACCGTAAAAATAAGCATGAAAGGGATAAACTCGCTGGTAATTAAACATATAACCAATATTTGGGATATTCTCTGAAATGTGATAGGAACCGAGAAATGTATTATATTTGCTCACTTTTGAATTTAATTTGATGGTCCTCCTATAATCATTATATTTTAAAGATGAACCATGGAAACGGTAATTAATTTTGCACTTGATTTCGTGAGTTATCAAAGCACCTTGAAAATGTGGCAATTTTTTTTCCCCTAAATATCAATCCATCACAAAGCACTTTCAACAACTAATATTTTTTAATCATATTTTGTGGCAGTCCATTCAATGGGCGAGACAGTATACGGAAAAAAACCAGTCTTTACGCTTACTCCTAAAGCCACTGTAAAATGACTGTGAATGCTGCTACAGCAGTAAACGAGGATACGGGAGTTTTAGACCAGTGCTATTTAAATAAAATGCTGATCAGCTGCAAAAAATATTTACCTTTCAGTTGAAATTACCTGATCTGCACGCAGAAAAATGTCTTTGTATTTTTTGTACTCCTCTTCGGTAATCGTGGTTCTCAGTTCCAAACGACTTAAACCAAGCTCCTTCAAAGCTTCAGGCGTGACGAGTAATTGCTGCACTACTTGACTGAGATTACCACTGCAGTAATCATCCCAAAGTCTCTCAAGAGCATGAAGAGAGCTGCAGGTCACTGATATCACCAAACTTCCCTCCCTGTAGTCTTTGACTTCTACTCCTAGCCCGTGCCTTAAATACATAAGAAGTTGCTCAATAGGCCTTTTAATCTGGATAAGATGTTTCCAAATCTGGGTCATCGTTGAGAAATCCTTCCGGTTTCCTTGTGTGTTTTCTCCTTGTTGGTCGTCATTGATAGGCACAATGCTAGATCTATCAAATCCCGCGCCAATTGATTGAATTTCCGATCTATGTGAGATTTGTATTTTAATCTCGTCTGGGGTAAAAATCAAAATAGTTTACATATTTCACCGAAGGTACATACAAAGTGAACAATAAATTCAATTCAACGCGAAAAAATAAATGAAATGAAAAATATACACATAAGTAAAAATAAAAGAAAGGTACTAATCCCCAACCCCACCCTATTTGATTTTTTTATGCCACCATCTTTCTTTTCTCTCTTGAATTGCCTGTTAGACTACGGAAAGAACGGGTAGATCAATTTTTATTCTAAGAAATTATTGCAATGGATTGTATAGGAGAAATCAAGGGAGAAAACAACAATTGGGTAGACAATATAAAGGAAAGGGTTTTCGTGCGAATAAAGGAAAAGACAAAGAAAGGAAATTTCATCATAATTTTCCTCAGTGGAAAAACTACCTGGACATTTACAGAAAACTTCAAGAAGTTATGTAATTTTCGATGCTTACCAATTTCTAGATAAACCAGCCGAATCTGATCCTTATCATACATACAGTCCTGTCGAATGCCTTGCGCATTAGAACCAACTTTATCCAACTCATATCCCAGGTGTCTAACTGAATCTTTCACCTCGAAGTCTTTTTCGTGCCACACTTTCAGATCTTTGGCGTATTTTTGTGCTTCTGGGGTTAAAGGATCGTGGGGAAAATTTTAAATCCGTTTATTCCATTCATCTTTCTTTGCAGTACTTAGTGATCCGGCAATTCGCAAAAGAGCTTCCCCGATCTCCGTCCAGAGTTTGAGGAAATCGGAGTCGGTCATCTCCATTTTCGAATTGTGACCATATACGGAATTCCGGAAACACTTTATCCGAACCAAATCCGCCTCAATGCTGTGATCTGTGTTAGCTGGCTGACTGTTCCATCCAGTTGAAGGTGCGGTAAGACCGCATATTGTTCTTAACAATCTAAAAGTTAACGTGATATCGAAATCAGCGGACTTTCCATATATCCCAGGCGAGGGATAGAGGATTTTCCACTCTGGTGGTGATAACTTTGCCTTCCCAAGCTTTGCCCGTATGGCAGGGTCTGCTAGCTTCAGAGGGAGATCAGCTGGAGAATGACATGAATCAAACTTTTCTCTCAAAAGTTTGATACTCCCGCACATTAACAGTCGTGTTAAACGCTGAAAATTTGCCTTTTCTTTCGCGGAACGTAATGTATCTTCTGCATCTGCAACAGACGCCATTCGGTTGAAACACTGATGAGAAGTGAGAAGAAGGAAGTCCTACTCCTAGGAAAAAATCAGCTTATTTAGAATGGCAAAATGAAGAGCACAAATGTTTTTATGTTTAAAGTTCGCAGTTAGGGAAAGAGTCGAACAGAGTTAGAGACCAAGGGAGTAAACCAGAATTATTCATAGTAATTAAAAGTCCCTCACTTAATCAATTTCTCAAAGCGTTGTATGCTTTGCAGCTAGTTTCTCCCGAAAAAAAAAACGCGCCCACACTTTAAAAATGTCACTTTATTGGGGCCACTACATGTAGTAGGTCTTATTGGCATATGGCATGGGCTAATAACAATACATACCTATAGGCATAGAATAACTCTACGATTTGTTAGATCGGAGGAGAGTAATATCACCAAAAAGCTTTTAATATTGAGTTGAGAAATTGAGTCTGTAAATCAAAGAGAATGCTATCGAACGAGCCAAATTTCATTAGGGGTCAACAGCGGAAAAACAAATACCGTCAGGAAAAACAAATACCGTCAGTCGACACTTGACGTATATTGATGTTAAAATTAACATTAAACGGTTAAGAATATATGAAAGTCATATATTTGAACTGCGGATAAAGATGTGAATGAAAGTGATCCTCGCAGTAAAGTGCACTACTTAGGCAGTAGTGAAAATAAGGCCTGAAAAAAATTCAGGCCTGTATGGGATTTGAACCCATGACCTCTGCGATACCGGTACAGCGCTCTACCAACTGAGCTAACAAGCCAACTGGGTGCTGGTGATGATGTTGGTTCTAAATAAACCCGTGAAGTGATGAAATAAACGGTTAGGAATATATGAAAGTCATATACTTGAACTGCGGATAAATAAGTGAATGAAAGTGATCCTCGCAGTAATGTGCACTACTTAGGCAGTAGTGAAAATAAGGCCTGAAAAAACATTACTGCGAGGATCACTTTCATTCACGTCTTTATCCGCAGTTCAAATTCTGGGCCTTAGCGTGGGAGAAAACTCAGAAAAGACTCAACTTACTCCTCTCCTTTCTTCGGGCTCCCTTGTGGTTCGCTTTCTCTTTGCTGATGACATCTTTTCAGTCTATTGTCTGGAGCCCTTGTATGTCCTTCTCACGTTGTTTTTTACTAGATATTCGCTTTTTGATGTTAGCCTCATATTGTTCTTTTTGGCGTTACTCTTACCGTTTTCTGCTTCGTTTCTAGCTCTCTTTCTCATTTTCCCAACTCACTCGCACCTTTTACTTCTTGCTTTCTGTCTACGCTATTCCCACGCAAATCCTCTGACCAGAATCTTGAAATAGAATTATTCATTCCGGGTGACATAGCTTAGCTCAGAAATTGCAAACTGTCGAGTATCAAGGATGTTTTCAATGAAACCCTAATCACAAGGTTCCAGCTCTAAACGCGGATTACATATTCTTTGCTTGCGCGACTTCACATTTACTAGCCCACGTGAAGTCCTCGTCCAATGCTTAACTGTGTGCTCATAGTGAGCTACACCGAACTTAGTTATTCGATTATGCTTTACTATCTACTTTCTACCTGCGCACATGAATGGTATTTCCAAGTTATGTAAGCAATCACGCATGCGTATTGCTTTCTCTGCTTCCCTTCTACCTACGTAATGGCTAGATTTGAGCCCGCAATTCGGCTAGCTGCGCATACAAAAAGTACGGACGTACGGTCAAACCCTTCCAAGTTTTCTCGGCTTGATGGGTTACCACTATTTACTATAAGTATGCGTTGCGCGCGCGCGAACTGCTGCAAGCTCCGCCATAAACTGAAAGAAGTAATCCTCATGAGCCATGGCATTTTTTTTTTCAGTCTATTTTAAAGTTCGTGACTGGCTGTGAAGTTATTACCAACTTCCGTGATAATGCGGTCAACCATCTCGTCATATGGCACTGTCAATGTGGTTTCCGGTGTTCAAGTTCTAAATTAGTTTTTAAAACCTGCAAGCTCTCATTGTCGAGACAAATTTATAAAACGTGTGTGAGTCAACAAAAAGATCATGTCTAATTGTAGCGAAACGTCTGCCTTTGTATTGATGCTTTCAACTTCTCGCAAACGGCAGGGGCTCATATAAACTCTTCCTTAGTCCTTAGAGTAATAAGCCATAAAGCTAACCAAATTTAGCCGGCTAGAGGCTAGTCAATGTCACTTTGTAAGAGTTACAGAAATCGAAATCAGTTTTTCGGCACCGCGATCGAACAAGTCTCTTTCTGTATTTTTATTTGTGAATTATGATGCGTCGGAAATCGCTATTTCTGCATAAATGAATGTTTAAGATTAAATAAAATTGATTCCTCCAATTTTCACAGTATTTCTTCGTCAGAACCCTTATAAAGTTGTTTGCACACAAATGCGTGAATCGATAAGAAATCGCGCCTTACTGTAGCTAAGGCCAGTTTACCATCGGCTAGTTGGTATTGATGTTTTCATTTTTCTCTCAAAGCATGCGCACTAATAAACAGTCATCCGCTCTTCGTTCTCTACCAAATTAGCGAGCTAAAAAGGCGTATAGCTGATCAAGAATGGAGGTCAACACCTGACGGTACTCGATTTTAAGAGAACAACCGTGCAAAAATCAAACAAAAATGAAATTTTTATGGCAAGGGTCAAAAACTCAAATTGTCTCAATTTTTGCACACAAGTGGACCCTATTGTAACAAGAAAGGCTGTGTATTTTTCTCCTCAAATATGTTTTTATTTTCGAGAAAAACGAACTTTTCGCTTTCACCCTCTGGAATCGATGGATCGGGTCATAACAGGTCGAAAATTGAACACTTTCGCTCGCTTCGCATTTCAAAGATATCACGTCTAGGGAAATCTAACCAACGTGAGCTCTTTCATAGACTCTTTGTATTCTGTAAAATGTAAGTTGTGTAGGAATTGGTTGCTTAGAAGCTTTTAGCCATGCAAAAAAACAATGTGCTCCCTTCCGTTACAAAAAATTGTCGGTGAAGATTCAGAATTCCACAAAATTACGTATGTAAATTGCCGAAGGAATGATCTTCAAGATGATATAAAGTTTTCTTAACCGCGAAAGATTCATTATCGCTTGTCTTAACAGCAAATAACCTTTTCCGCGCTTCTAACAAATTTCAGCTTCTTTGTTCGGTAAAAATACAGTTGCGAAACTGTGTCAGTAGGACTGTACACCAAAAAATTCACAACTAACAGCAGCTGCAGGGACCATCAAACATTGTCATTCATTCCCCATTTGCCTGACATTGGCAGTCCATGACAAGGCTTGTCAGAATATCGACATACGGCTTCTTCCTCTTAACGTCGACCTGGGAATTATCGAGTCCGAAAGAAGTACAAATGTCATTTAACACTTTGATTGATAAGTTTTAAAGCTTAGAATTCTTAACTAGTTCACAAATGCTGTAATCGTTGTACAAGATTGGATGTGCGTGCTGAATAGAAATTTAGACATCACCTTTTTACTCATTGCTTGTAGCTGGCTCTCCTTTTCTGCTCTGATTTGATCAGCGTCATCGCTCTGGTTGTTCTCTTGGTGGTCGAGACTTCGCTTTGAGGCCAGACTAGAAAAAAACTAGAAATTTGCCTGCTTGTAAGAAACTCAGAGCAGTCAAATAGCTGCTCGCGTTTTCGTCTTTCTCAGATCTCATTAATCTTGAGACACTTGCAGCATCTGCCTTTTGTCCCGTTTGTTCTCCAGTTTCAAACTTTCAAAGTAGTCCTTTTGCTTATCAGTGAAACGAGTACTGCGAGAACGACTCTACTTTCGGGCCCATCCCATTTCAAGAGAAGCTACAGACGATGACGGGTGGATTCCGTGTCCAGCAGTTGCGGCACAGCACTCGGTCCCTTCTCAAGTCTAGAGGCATACCCTAGCACGGCGCGGCCATAAAGAGTTTCATATTCAAGAATATATTTGTGTCTCCCACATTCGAGAGCTTCTGTAATGACGAATGGCGTTGATAGGACTTAATGCAACCCTCTTCCGAGCAGAAAAAAATATTTTAGTTGTGGAATCGCGCGATTCTTCACTTGAATCATCGGTACCTTCATCAGTGCTGTCTTGGTGCTTTTGAGATGTTTTACCAAACTAAGATCGTCTCGGCTTGATAGGAACAAAATTAGCTTTTATGTTTCGCTTGCTGCACTGCATTCAAGTGTTGGAACTTCGTCCTGGTCAGGAACATGGAACTTGCTCCAAGGAATGAATTTGCCTCTTCCAATTTTGTAGCCGGATCTCCATACTCTCACACCTTCCTCGCCATTCTGAACGTTGTTGACAAAGCTCACAACATCCCATTTCACTGGCTTTTTGATGAAAGACAAAGGATGTCTGCACGACACTGCTTTTACTCTAGGGACACCTTCAAATGATTCTATTGCCTCCTGCATTTGAGATACCGACTTTATATCGTGGCCTGAATTCAAATGGATGGCCATATGGGATTCGATCGTTGCAGCTTTCCGATCGCAAGATCCCTTCCCTCCTTGGGGATCTGGAAAATCCATTCTGCGTAGGAAGAGATTGTTTTGCTCTGCTACTTTGCTGGCTGTAACCAGAGTTAAAGCGCAGTGGTAATACCCGGCGTTGTCTTGTCTAAGATAAATGGATTGTAAATGAGGTATGACATCCTTCAGTCGACGAAAGACGTCGTTAAGTATGGCAAGAACTGCAGAACTGTCCTGGTTACACGTCTCAAATAATATAAGTGTACAAACGTCATCATCTAAATCTTGCCATCATTTCCCTTTCTCGTTGCAACCGTGATATGCCATGGCAGATCTCTCTTACCAAACCAGTCTGTTTGGCTCTCCCTAAATTTCTTTGGTAGATATTTCATTGCCCGGTCTAAGGCCAGTAAGGCAGAAGCTTCATCTAGCTCATCGATGACGTCTGGTCTGGACTCGTCCTGGTTTGTTGAACGCAGTAAATGCGCTCTCCAGGAATTTATGCATTGTTTGGACTGTAAAATCACAAAGGCCAAATCTTCTTTCTTATCGGTTGTG